CTTTTCATCAGGAAATATAGCGGACCCTCAAGTTTCATCTGGCCTCATTTGCAAACAACTTGGGTTGATTAGGTTAATGAAAGATTCATCTGCCTCTTGTTATTATAGCATGTAGCCAGGTAACCATGCAGACTTCAGCTGTATTGACTTAGTTACAACCATCCTGGAAATGATTGAGTTTGTAAGTGTAGACTCCACTGTATGTTGGAACTACAGACTTTCTAAGTGAATTATGGTATGTCATCACCTTACCACTGATTATCTCTAATCAAGAGAAGGGGGGAGAGAGAGAGAGACATGGCCTTGAATTCATGGTTCTCCTGCCTCAGCCTCCAGAGTACTGGGATTACAGATGGGTGCCTCCTGCCACACTTACATGGTTCTTCATTGCTGGTTTTCACACTATCGAAGAAAAGCAAAAACATGACAGTTAAATGACCGGGTTCTTAAATTACACTGGCTGAGTTCAAGTACTCCAGGCTGGCTGTGTGTCTTTGGGTCTAACAGTACCCTCGCTGTTCCTCGGTATCTTCTCTGCGGAACAGAGATTATGAAGGACACATCTCATAAGGTTCTGCAGAGGGTGACACGATCATGCATGGCACTTAGTAACTCACACACGGCGAGCATCTGTGAGGTGTCAGCCAGCATCACGGATTCCTCTTTTCAATGATTTATCAAGAAATTAAATTAGAAGCTGAGTGTTGCTGCTATGGAAAACAAACTCAATTTTGGGCACGTATTTCAAATTTGTTGGCTGAAAATCACTGTGAATACTTCTGTGGCAATGAAGTCACAGAAACATTTACAATATTAAAAACATGAATGAGTTTGAAATGCAAAAATGTGACAGTAGCCAGGCATGGTGGCTCATGCCTGTAACCCCAGCACTAAGGAGGCTGAGGCAGGAAGATCACTGAGGTACCAAACCAAATAAAACACAACAACAACAAAAGAAACAATAAAGTGAATGGCTTAAATTTCCTTCAGTAGCAAATGATTGTGAAAGATCTCATCCTGTGCCACATCACTTATCTACCAGGTACTGTGCAAATTGTTTTGGTTGGTTTGGTTTTTTGAGACAGGGTCTCACTATGTAGTCCAGGTTGGCCTCGAACTCACAGCGATCCTCCTGCCTCAGCCTCCCAAGTGCTGGGATTATAGGAGTGTGCCACCACACTGTGCCTTTTATCCTTCTGCTGTGATCTGTTTATACTCCCCTGCCCTCAGGTTCATATTTGAAATCCTCACCCCCCAGGTGATGGTATCAGGAAGTGAGGCTCTTGCAAGGTGACTAAGCCATGGAAGAACAGCCCTTATCAGATTAGTGCCTATAGAAAGCAGACCCAAGAGAGCTCCCACACCCTTTCTACATTACTGAGCATGGGCCAAGAGGGCTCTCTCCCTGAGCCAGGAAAAGGTCCTCACCAGACACCAAACCTGCCTTAGTTTTGGACTTCCCAACCTCTAAAACTGTCAGAAATAAATTTAAATTTGTGAGCTACCCAGTTTAAGACCTCATGTGAATTTAGTTGGAGATGCTATCTAGAAAGATAATTTCAAAGACTATTAAAATCTGCCTTTAAAATTTTGAGACATAATTCTGTACTGAGTGGGAAATGCCTACTCTAGTAAACTATAAGACCCTTGCCTATTTCAATTCTTAACTCTCCTCAGGGCTCTCAAAGAAATAATTTTCCAAGACTTCCTTCCTGATCAGCAAGGCAGAAGTGATTGGTTCGCTCTTATTTACATCCTGCCTTAGTAATAAGAGTTTTAAATCAGCTTTTAATGCATTTTAAAATGTAAGAAACTTTATATTTAAAATTATATTCTAGCCGTGGATTTAGCTCTGTGGTGTTGCTACCAGCCCTGCAAGCCCAAGGTCCTGAATTCTATCCCCTGTACAAAAAAAAGAAAAAAATAAAATTATATTCTAAGGTTTGAGCCAAACATCACTTTTCAGTAGGCTCACAAGTGGGTAGAGTTAGACTGATAAAAAGAGCACCTAGGGGCCAGGGATTTAGCTCAATGGCACCACACCTGCCTTGCAAGTACAGGGTCCTAAGGTGATCATCCCCAGTACCAAAAAAGAGAACCTAAGTCTTGTCTGTTGCTAAATGGTACAACCTATTGGTAAAACTGGGTGAGATGGAGCAAAATTATATATCATCTACCCTGGTCCAGCAATTCCACTTAAAAAAAAAGTCCTCAAGACACAAAATGGAAAATGCACAGGACTATTAATTGCAGCATTATTTGTAAAAATCACAACTGAAGCAATCCAAATGTCCAGCAGCAGAATACTGCAGAATGCTGTGGTATATACACACAATAAAGTCCTGTTCAACTCTATAAAGGATAAAAAGTGATCTACATATAATAACATGGAATAATCTCCAGAACATATTAAGTGAAAAAGTTTTTTTAAAATGTTCCTGTAGTACACTATATTTTCTGTGATGAAATAAGAAAAGAGGTATCTTTGTTTTTCATTTTTTAATTTTTACTTATTTATTTTGGTACTGGGGATCAAACTCGGGACCTTTGGCTGGCAAGGCAGGCGGCAGAACCACTGAGCTAAATCCCTGGCCCTCATTTTTTAAATGAATAGGACCTCTCATAAAAAGAATTACTTGTAGAAGAATAAACGGAGTGGAAGAGAAGAAAATAAAAAATTCCCATAAATGCATCGTCTATAGTTTCTGTCAATTATCTTATAAAATTTAAAAATGAAATCAAATTTTAAAATACCCTTGAAAACTGATACCTGTATTAAAATAACCTAACTACTGGACTGGAATATAGCTTGGCAGTAGTTTGCCTAGCATGTGTGCTTGGGTTTGATTGCCATCACTCAGATTAACAATAATAACCTAACTGTTCACCATTGACTTCATTTGATTCTAAAGCCAATGGTCTTATTATTATTATTTTATTTGTTTATTTTGGTACCAGAGATCAAACTCCTAACTTTGCACTTTGGAGGCAGGCGCAGTGCCACTGAGCTAAATTCCCAGCTGAGGTTTTATTATTTATAGCTATATCAGTATTGTTTTGAAACTATAAAAATGTTGTAAGATAACACAAATACATAATTATTTTCATGTCAGTACACCAAAATTTTCACACCTAGACTCAAAATTTTAATATATCCCATTTTCTCTTAAAATTAAAAAGGGCATTTCTTGATTCTTTCTATTGTATAAGCCTTGTATAGATTTTGACTCAAAGCAACCAATGGTAACAAATATTATTTTTGAGAAAATTAGGGACGTTTTAATAAAGACTGGGTACTAAATATCACAAAAGTATTAAAGTTTCAAGTATTCTATCAGTGTGGCTTATACTTTCGTTTTGTTTTGTTTGTTGTTGTTCTGAGAGAGTCTTGCCATGTAGCCCAGGCTGGCCTTGAACCTAGGATCGTTTTGTCTCAGCCCCCCAAGTGCTGGAATTACAGGCACACATGTAGTACCAACATGTCTCACTCTAGAATAATTTTGGATACATTTTTAAGTGATTTTTTTTATCATCTAGAGATACAGCCTCAGTTACTTACTGGCCATGTCATATGCTGTCTGGGATTCTCTTTAAAATGCCCAGCAGAAATATTAAAAAAAAAAACAAAACACCCAGGGTAAATAAACAGATGGGGTTGATAAAATGTGGTTAATAGTTAAAGCTGGGTGATGCGCACTGAAGGACTCAATTCTATTAAAAAGAAAAAGAAACAAAAAGGCTGGAAGCTATACCAAATCTCACTTGAGCTATTTTAGTACTATCTCATCATAGCTTACAATTTTACTCTTGAATTCTGGCTTGGCACTAGAAGGGCTTTTTGCATTCCGTTGAGTTCGTTGCAGACTCCTACGATCCATCCATCACACTCTATTTCTGCCCCATGACTGCCCCACACAAGAGAACCATCTAGTAACTTTATGAAAGAATCCAAGAGACACAGATGAAGCTCTGTCAAAATAGCACATCATTCTTTTTGCCCTTCCTGGGTGGGGTGGTGGGAGAAGCACTCTGAAGCTTCTTTTTCCATCTCAAGTGGGATTGCAGCATGCGGCTTATATCACTCCTTTTCACCCTTCTTCCTGTCTGCCACATACTAAGCTCTCACTAAATGTCTGCTGACAGATCTTACAATAATTTCTGGGTGATGTACAGGCTCTCCTGGAATACAACATTAGAACTTAGAAAAGCATTGACTTAGCAAAGGAAACCCTCCCCCCAATACTGGGAATCAAACTCAGGACCTTATACTTATGAGGCAGGCATGGTGCCACTGAGCTAAATCCCCAGCCCAGGAAATCTTAATTTTAATAAGTAGCTCACTTTAAATACTTAGCATATATCTAAGTTCCAATTTCAACTCCAGGAGTTGCCCTCCTCATCAGGAATGCAGCTGGCATTCCAATCAGGAAATCATACTGTGGGATCCCCAAGTACTTCTATCACTGATAATCGACTGGCGGCTAAGAGTTTGTTAATAATGCATATTAAATGCCAGGACTATGTATTGGAGAAGCAGCTCACAGACTAACATAGTATCAGAATTTGCTCTTACTTGTGAAATTAATTAGACCCATTCAGGTGTATGACTTACACCTTCCTTTAAAGACTGCGCCTGGGTCTCCATTACCTGTTTTTATTCCTTTCTTCAGTATTGCTGGTTCCTTGATACCAACCATAAAAGTAAGGAAATCTTTTGGGAGACTGCTTTTGTCTGCCAGAAATAAATCTCCCGTAGAAGGATGGTTAGAGAATCTGAAAGGACAGCAAGTTAGGACTGCACTGAGGTTAAGAACAGCTCTTGTGCCTGTTTTGCTCCGTAAGTGTCAATGTGAAAGCTGGCAAGGCGGATGTCAGCGAGCGGTGGCCCTCACCCATCTCGAATTTGAGGCTGCTGAGTGTCTACGAGAAAGAACCCGAGTGAGAAGGACACACTTAGCATGGTGCAGTTTACAGTGATCCTCACAGGGTACACGTTCGAAATTTTAAATTTTATTTTAAACATGTCACATTAAATGAAATTCAACCATAATCATTACAGAGCATAACCACAATAATATATACACACAAAAAAAACTTAAAATAAAATACAAAAGAATAGTATTTTCAACAAGTTAAATGCCATTTTACTGTGTAAACAAAAGTAAAATAAAACCCTGATGCTAAAAAGGTACATATTCAGAGGTAAAATATAGATACAAAAACATTTAAACATCAACATTACTCACTAGATCACATTCTCTGCAAGAGTACAAATATTAGTACTCTACATCTACAAAATTTCAGAATCCTGTTAAAATCAAAACCATCTCTGGTTCATGATACAGCACAATTCATAAGGCAAAAATATAGGCATTATCATCCAGTTCTTTAATTTCACTTGTATTTTAAGGCAAACTTGGAACTTTTTGCTTAGTATTTTAAAATAAATGGGACCTTACACATGATAACATGACAAGAATTAACAATAAATTATCTCTAAATATGTAGGCTAAAAAAGACATGGATAACAATTTTTCTCTCTGCAGAGATGTAAACTGGATGTTTATTTGACTCCATATTCACACTAAGAAAATTTGTAAACCTATAATATTGAAAGCATGTTGTATTTATTGTATTTCTCAGTCTTCCCCAATGTGTATCAACACTGAATCAATATATTGTAATATATTTCCAGCCACGGAATTGTTGTCTAATTAAACCATGTCTAAATTGCCGTTCACAAAGTGGGGAAAAAAGTTAAGAAGAACTGGATGTTAATTTGACATGTGACATAACTTTTTAACTTTCTGACTACAGAGGTTATGAGGTTATCACAAGTTTCTTGAACTTGAAGCAATAAGTTTATTGTAGAGTCTGATTTTCCTGAAAATAAGCACTTAGGTGACAATACTAGGAATCCAACACCAAAACCAAAAACAAACACAGCATGATATATGTATGTTTCCCTCAGTGTCAGCCACAGGCTTGATACTCCAGGATTTAGCTGGTTTTTGCCCTGTACATTTGTTTTTCTTCTAGAAAATACACTATTCAATTTGAGGAGATGTGGAATTCTATAAGCACTAAATTTTTCAAAATTTTTTTATGTCATTAAAATTTACTTGAATACTAAATAATTGTTTAGATGTAAACTATGTCTCTACTCACTTTCTATGCTGGAAATAAGGAATTAGATCCATACTTTACCATAGTTGCTACTGGGGTACAGAATTCCTCCATTGTATTTTATTCTTGAGTGAAAGGAGTGTATATATTTCTATTTCTAGCCACCACAGGATCTGATATAGTAGCTCATATGTATAGTTGGCCATCCATAGGCATCAAACTATCAAAATGCATTTCAAAACCTTCCTATCACGTGATACTACTTCCTATCATTTAATATTCATTTATATTTAAAACAATCATGACCCGAGTTCAATCCCCGGTACCAAAAAAATAAAATAAAATAAAACAATCTTAGCAATAACAAACGGAACTTGTAAATATCCTTCAGGTTATATTAAAAATCAGTTAAACTAATATTAAATAGCTAAACATTCCTAACAGATTATGTCTTTATAACATAATTATAGGAGGTAATTATCTTGCAATTGATTTAATTTCTATTTCTCTTACTATTATTTTCCAAAATATTTCAGGGCAATTTAAAATAGCATTCTTATCCTTGACTGAATATGTACAATCATTTCTAATACCATTAAACCTGGGGATTAATAGTATTTAGATCCTTTTAAATTAAGAATCATGTGGCTTTAAATTCACAATTTGTCAGCAAAATCTTCCAAATGAAATTCTCACAAGTGTGTCAGAGAAGGATCTATAATAAACCTATCACCTGTCAGGTCATATTGGCAGGTTAGGCTGTTATAAACAGTACAACAGCAATCCTATGACAAATATGTTTCTAAATTTTAAATGTTTTTTTTTTCCTTTAACCTTCACAGGTCTTCATAATTTTTTCACCGGTACATAGCTCCTACTATTGCCCAAGATATTTAACATTTAATTTTCACCAAGATGAGAATTAGATTTTTAAAAAACAATCATCGATACATACTTTCGATAGAATTTGCCAAATGATTATATATTTTATACTAATTTGATAGTGGAAACAACATGAGTAGAACATCATATAACACAGATGTGTTTACAAGTAAAATAATTTTCTACAGTCTTTCAAATTCCTATCTTTTGGGAGAAGGGGATTAAAGATAGTATAAGATGTATTTAATAATTGTGTTATGGTGTCTATCCAGATGCCCCCTCCCAAAGCCTACTGTTCTCCTAGGTAAGGCTTTTGGGAGGTGATCGGATCATAGGGGCTTAATATTCATGAGTTCATTGCTGAGTTTACAGCTGTGATGTTGCCAGGTGAAGCCTGATTAGAGATGGGTCACTGGGGGAGTGGCCTGTAAGGACCTATCTCCTTCCCTCCTCCCTAGATCCCTCTCAGCTTCCCACCATGCCAGCCAGGAGTTAGAGCTCTTCTCTGCCATTGGAGCCCGCTGATTGGAGGGAAACCTCTACAGACTGTGAGTCCCTCTCTTAAATTGCGGGTAGTGAGTATTTTGCCCCAGCAACAACAAAAGTGACTAAGACACTTTGACTGATATAAACATAGAAACAGTTGGGGATTTAAAACAAGCATTGTACGTGGTGGAATCTATTTTAAATTGCTTTTCTTTAAGGTTTAGGCCAACCACAGTAGTGCACCTTATTTCTATTCAACAGATTTATTCAAATCAATGAAAAAGTTATTGCTATATATTATTATGTTATTCAAACAAGCAACATAGAAATACTCAGGTGACTTTATTAGTAGCTCCTGTTGAGTTCTAAATTAGAAGAGACTAAAAATCACTTGCAAAGTTTTACAATCTGTGCAAATATCTGTAAAGCATGATACTACTTTTATGACGAAAGATGATTTTATACAATTTCATTGTATATACTCAACTCTACAACTGGTAATTTATGGAAGAACAAGGAAAACTTCAAATTGGCTGGCTATAATTTTCAAGAAATAACATGTCAACAACTGAACCTATAGTTTATAATTACAAATGGCTTCTTAACAATAGTTTTGAATATTATGGCACTTAATGCAATATGAATTTTTCTTAGGAAAAACTATACACTGGTCTCACAGAGGATATATAAAGTGATAGTGGGAGGGGGAAAAATGAAATGAAAACAAAATGACTATAGTACCAAAACCACAAACACAAATACCAGTATCATTGTAAAATGCAAGCTAATGTGTTTGAGACTAAGAGACAGCCACTAATACATGCGAAACTAAAATAAGTTAACCATTTCTTTTAAATAAGCTGTTGCTGGGTAGAGCAAACAATTTTGTTTTAAAAGATTCCTTTTTTAATAAAAGCAGAATCGAATTTTGAATCATTAATCAAGTAAACATCGAGTTCTAGTTTTCCTCAATAATATTAAAATATTCAGTTACCTAAGAAATATACAAAGTAATGCATAACTGTTAAGTGCCTTATATTTAATGCATATATTTGTTTTTAAGGACATGTAATATCTAGCACAAGAAGAAAGATAAAAGTGTATCTTTCTTTAAACCACTATTCAGGAACCATGAAAAGCATAACATAGACCATTTAGATGGTTTTTGGGTGTTAATATTGGTGCACTCACTAACATTATAAGCACGAGTGAATCAAGCCAGTAAAAATGACAGACTTATCAAAATATGTCATGCATATCTTAAACATCCAAAAGAACATTGGTTATAATCTTGTTATAGATCCTACAGTTAGCACCATTTTTAAATCTGAACACTTTGAAAAAGCAAAGATCTTAAAGCTAAAATTATTATGAGGATATATGAAAAAAATCAATGTGCATTAAAGTACTAAACACTTTGAATATTTACATCAACACTGGGAAGCCTGCTGTACTACTAAGAAAAAACTGAAGTAACTGACATGATTAACTCCTTTTATCCATAATTACCATGGCATAGATGAGTAACTCAATCTATGCAGCATTAGCCTGCCCATATATATAAAAGGCATAAATAGTAAATAGCTGACTTCTTAAAATAGGGCCCCAAATATGATAATCAAAGCAACTGTCTTGCAGACTTATTATACCACCAGTCCTAAAACTATTCAGCAGGAAGAGTACACAGATGACTCACTAGGGCACGTTATTTACAATCTTTAGAAGTACCAAAAGTAAAAGCAGCCCTTTGTTTTAAGAAATGTAAAGCATATGAATTTATATTTGACAAGCAGTATAAGCAATCTGTCCAGTCATTCAATATACTTCATAGTTCTAAAGCTTCTCTCATCCTAGTAAATCATAATACATGTCAAGGAGGGAGAGCTCAAATCAAAAGAAGAAAAGCAGCAAGGTTTTGTCCACATGTACATTTAAGAACTATTGCAGTCTTGGTGGGAAAAGTGCACAATTCAATTGGTAAGGTCTTTTTTATTATTATTATTATGGATTTACTGCATAATGAAGAGCAACCAAAACTACTTGTTAATTCAAAGTACCCTACGAACTGTGAGTCTTCATGCCACCTGAAGATACAAAAAAGCAATGCAGCTTTTAGAAAACCAAGCATCCTTTCATGGGTCACAAGTTTCACCACCATGCTATTTTCAAGAATCCACACTTGTCAAAGTGCAGTCAATCCAAAATTGCAGCGACAATAGATCATGCCTGCTGAATCCAGCCATGTGTCTGAGATTGGGTCATACTTCTGCACTGCGTTCAGATAGGAAGACCCTGAGTGACCACCAACCACATACAGATAGTTATCAATTACTGCAGCACCGACTCCTAAGAAAGGTGAATGAAAAGAAACATGGCAACCGTGAAGTAGGTGCTTTGCTCACTAAAAACAAATGAGGTTGTATTTTAAAGTTTTTTTAAAATACATTAAAACAATTGTAATTATACAAGCAATACAGCAATATGTACTTAATGGAAAAAGGACTCAATATTAAAGTAAGAGTTGAAGTCTTCCTTTACCTCTGCTCTCCCATCCTATTTTCCCTCTCACTTTACTCCAGAAAAGTTTTATTTTTTCAAAATAGAAATTTATTTTTAATTGTACATAGTCATAGGTACAGTGTGATATTACAATCCATGTATACAATGAATAATGATCAGATCAGGATAACTGGAGGGAAAGTGTATTTCTAGCCAGGTATGGTGGCACATGTCTATAATCCCAGCACTTACAAGGCTGAGGCAGGAGGATAGCTGCAAGTTTGAGACCAGCCTGGGCTACATAGTAAGTTCAAGGCCAGCCTGAACTACATAGTGAGACCCTGTCTCCAAAAAAAAAAAAAAAAAAAAAAAAAAAAAAAAAAAAAAAAAAAAAAACCACCCAATATAGTGTATTTTCATATGCTTTATAATCGATTTATACTTATATGTTTTTCTAGAAATTGTTTCATCAGGTTTTCCAATATACTGACATATAATTTATGCTTTTAAAATATCCTTTAGATATTATCACATATAGTTCTAAAAAAGAACAGACCTACTCATATTTTTAGAGTTCTCATTGCTTTTATGGCTTTCTTTATCAAGAATATCTAAGAAACTAATTGTAGTAAACACTTAAATGGTTCATTCCATTTTGTCCTTTTAATTTCCTTTGAATATTTATGTATCAAGACTTTCTTCAATCATCAATATAAAGAATACCCCTGGGACAAACACTTTACCTTTAAAGTATACCCCCAGCAAGGAATACTTCTAAAGCATTTCCATCAGTAACTTAAAACGTGTATTATAAAATGTGACTTGAATTTGGATACAAAAGTAACAATTTCTTCTTATACTCAACAGCATACTTGTTTTTTCTCTAGCTATCTTGAAATCCCACCCTTTTTGATCAACTATTCCCACTTGGAGATAGAACATGTGAAAGTGAATATATGGATTACTGATGTACAAAATAGAACAATCTATGTGAGAGAGGAAGAAACACAAAATGACATGTTATAATGCACAAAAAGCTTATAGTAAGATAGACTATTATCAGCATTTCCCAAAATGTGTTCAAATTTGAGAAAAGATAATATACACCCTGATATATTAAAAGCACAAAAAAGAAGTCTATACAATCTTGTCTAGCTAGTTATCTTTCAAGTTTACTACAAAAAGTTTTTCTCAAACTGGCTTTCCATATGCTGAAGATTGAAACTAGACCCATATTTTTCACCATGCACTAAACTAAAATCAAAATGGATCAAAGATCTAAACATTAAAACAGAAACACTAAATTTGCTGGAAGAGAAGAGGTAGAATGATTGAAGACATAGGAGTAGGCAAAGACTTTAAGGACAAAACCCAGGCTGCATGGGAAATACTATAAAGAATCAAAAACTGGGGCCTTATTTTATTAAAAGCTTTTCTGCGCAGCAAGAAAAACCACCAACAGAGTGAAGAGACAACCCACAAAAAGGGGAAATATTTTTACCAGCTATTCAGATAAAGGACTATTACTCAGAATATATAAAGAACTCAAAATGATCAGACCTCCCAAATTTAAAGACCCAATGCAAAAATGGGCATCTGAAATAAAAAGACATTTCTCAGATAAGAATTAGAAATAGCACATAAATATATGAAAAAAATGTTCAACATCATGGTTATTCAAGAGAAGCACGGGCCGGGGAATTAGCTCAGTGGTTCTGGCACCTGCCTCGCAAGCACAAGGACCTGAGTTTGATCCCTGGTACCAAAAAAAAAAAAAAAGAGAGAGAGAGAGACACGCAAATGAAGACAACACTCCAGAAAGAATGCCTGCTATCAAAAAATCAATCAATAACAAATGTCAGCAGGGCTATAGGAAGAAAGGAACCCTTCTCTACTGCTGGTGGGAGCAGAGGCTGGTACAACGACTGTGGAAATCAGTGGAGAGACTTCTCAAAAGACTAAAACTAGTGGTTCCATTTGACCCTGCTATACCTCTTGTTGGACTCTTCCCGAAAGAATTAAAAGCATCCTACCACAGCGTAATATGCACACCCATGTTTATAGCAGCACAATTTGTAATAGCTAGATGTTGGAAACAGCCCAATTGCCCATCAACTGACGAGTGGATAAAGATTTTTTTTTTTTAAATACAACTCTTCTTCAAACAAGAACGAGCTACAGACAGTTATAGCTAAATGGATGGACCTTGAGACCATACTCTCAAGTGAAATAAATCAGACTCACATGTTTAAACACCACATTATTTCTCCAGTGTGAGAAAAATGAATGTGGAAATAAGGACTGAGATGTATAATGGATGTTGGGAAGAAAGTGTTCAAATGGGAAGGAGAACAAAGGAAGAAGGAGGAAAAAAAGGAAAGAAGGGCCAAGAAAAAAAAAAGTGAAAATGGGAAAAAATAAAAAAAAGTTTTTTCTGGACAAGTTATACCCTTACTGCTATATTACAAGGAATTACTATAGAGTTACCAAGAGTATTACTATAGAAAACACTGCCTACATGTTTAGAAATTAGGAAGTTGTTATTACCTGTTCTGGGCTCTTTCATTGGTCTGCACACAGTCCACTGATTTTGATGAGGGTCGTATCGTTCAATGCTTGACAAATGTGAGACACCATTATGTCCACCCACGACAAAAATAAAGCCTAGCATAACACCCACACCAAAGTGAATCCTTTTATCTGCCATGGATGCAACCATCTCCCAGGAGTCCTTACTGGGATCATAACGCTCCACACTGTAAAAATTCACATGAAAAAGAATTAGTTTATAGATGCTTTGTGTCACTCTTCCTGCCAAAGCAAAATGAAAAGCTACCATGAAAAAATGCAAACAGACATAAAATAAGTCATTTATTCCAAACTGCTTAGATTTGGGGCCAGAGACGTAGCTCAGTGGTGCCGCACCTGCCTGGCAAGCGCAAGGTCCTGAGTTCAATCTCCAGTCCTGTCAATTTCTTAGATTTTATTGATGAGATTGCAGGGATAAAGTTTACCTTGTGGACAGAGCCTAATAATAGCCATAGGCTATTCCATTGTACAGCTTTTCCTTGGTATACACAGGATTGGTTCCAGGACCTAGTAGATGTTCGAGTCCCTCACATAAAATGGTGCAGTATTTATATATAACCACCTATATACTTTAAAGCATCTCTTGATGACTTATATCTAATACAATGTAAATGATGCACAAATAACTGTTATATTGTTTGGGAAGCAATGACAAGGATAAAAAGTCTACATGTGCAATATGTGTGCAGTTATTTTTCTCAAAATTTTTTTGATCCGAAGTTTGATGAACTTACAGATGCTGATCCTACAGATATAGAGAGCTAGCTGCATTATATGAGCAACAAGGCATATTAAGGGCACAGGACTTGGGAGTCAGAAGACCTGGGATTAAATACTAATCTAGGGCCTGGGATTTAGCTCAGTGGTGCCGCCACCTGCCTCACAAGCTCAAGGTCCTGAGTTTGATCCCCAGTACTAAATAAATAAATACTAACGATACTAATAATACTAATAATAAATACTAAGCATAGTACAGCTAGACTAGCCTTACCACTTTGGATCTGGGTAATCCTAAATAAGTTATTTCTTCACCTGCAAAAACGGAACTAGTGCAGACTCAAAGGATTCATGTAAGAATAAAGCCAAACAGGTATTGCAGGTGCAAGTACTGTGGAAGCTACAACTGAATATCGATTTTTTAAAAAGAATACTAAGGATACACAGATTTTTTTTTAAAAAAAGGGAACAGAAAGGACAATTTTTTTTTTCCTGCAGAAAAATCCATGTCTTTAAACCCAAAGTAATCACTTCAGGTTCCATAACACAAACCAGCTGTTCATAATAATCCCAGAATGACTGAGGAGAACTCAGGGATTTAAGTCAAGTGTGCAGTCCAGAAAACCTGTACTATTTCCAAGCTGCTTTATGGAATTACAAATTTACTCGGACTTAAAAAAAAAACCCTTTAAGTCTGTAGTTCATTCTGAAGGATCACAGAGGCACAAAGGTAAGCTTGTTGAGTTTGTTCTAGTTCTGACCTAACTTCTTGAAAAAGGCTTAAGCATTTGAGAGCTTATATCATCATATGGACATCCTAACAGAGACTAGATAATAAGTGTTCTCAAAAGACACCAGGATAAAACTATTAGACCAAAATGACTGGATAAGAAGAGTTCATAAGTTGTAGCAAAACCTTAAACTTAAAAAACATTCTCTCAAAATTAAGATACTTAATCTTTCACCTTAGAAATTCTTGCCAAAAGCTTTTGAACGCTTTGGCAAATCCATGTTTAAGCCCCAAATCCTTTTCCTTTGACTGTGGAGCAAAAAACGGGAAACAGTTTAGCACAGCCAGAAACAAAAATTTATAGATGAAATGCAGTTTCTCTGCACTCTTAAACCACAACATCTCTTCATTGCAACACTCACAATCAATAAAACACAGGCCATTTCAATTAATATTAGACCTAAATTCTTTAATATATGCGTGGCCAAAATGAGTACTAGAGCTAAACTCTTTAGAACATCCATTTTCACAAATATTCGAATTGTGATTAATATTTCATATACGGTTAATTTATATTTTTTTCTGATCTATATTTCTCCTTTTTTTTCTTTGTTTTTTTGAGACAGGCTATCACTATGTAGTTGAGACTGACCCGGAACTCACTATGTAGCCCAGGCTGGTCTCAAACTTGCACCGATCCTCCTGCCTCAGCCTCCCGAGTGCTGGGATTGCAGGCATGCATCACCATGTCCAGCTATATTTCTCCTTATTCAAAGACTATACTATAAAATACTGAAATCTCCAATTCAGATTTTAACATACCCCAGACACATGATGATACATGTATGAAAATCCAGAAAAGGGATGCTGGGGATATGGCTCAGGGGTAGAGCACGTCCTCGCATGCACAAAGCCCTGGGTTCGATCCCCAGTACTGTGAAAAAAAAAAAATCCAGAAAGGATATATGTTTAAAACTTTGTGATGTATCATGAGATTGTATTGGCATGTAGGAGTTACATGTCCACTTTATTACGTAACGCAATAAAAGACCACACACATGCATAAACACACCCCGGATGACATGCAAAGTTATCTAAATCTCATTTTTAGGTTTCTGAGTTTCCAAATATAGCCTATTAATACTGAATAAATGAAAACTTTAATAAGAGATGCTTGAATCTTAGGTTTGTATTAATTTCCCATATAAACAAATTTCCTTAAGGAACAGATTAAATTCTCAAATGCCTGTCAGTATTACTTAAAAATATAATGAAGGGGCCAGAGATTTAGCTCAGTGGCACTGTACCTGCCTCACAAGCACAAGGTCCTGAGTTTGATTCCCAGTGCCAAAAAAAAAAGGTAACAAAGGAAGTTCATTCCTACATACAATTTGTTTAAAACTCAGAAGTCATTGTTAATATGCTTTTTTTAAAAAAAATCTGCAAACATAAGCAATTTGATTATTAAGTTAAATACCTGTTCATGTGAGCAGGACCATACCCTCCAATGGCATATATCATCCCATCCAACACAGCCGCAGCAAAGCAACTTCTTGTTGTAGTCATTGGTGCCACTGGTTGCCATTTTCTTATTTTGGGAATATATTTCTCTACAGATTGTAAATAAGATTGTCCATCATATCCACCTAAAGCATAAAGTTCTCCTGCAAGTACTACTACTCCGAGGGTACTTCGGCTCTCATTCATTCTCTCTAGAGAAGTCCAGATATTTGTATCAGGATTCCAGCATTCTACTGAATTTTCATGTTTTCTGATAGTGTCACCAGGACGCACGTTAGTTTCAATACCACCTATAACATATACTTTTTGGTCTAAAACACATATTCCAAATTCATAGCGTGGAATGTTTAGGGGTGCCAAACCAATCCAAGAGTCATTCTGAGGAAAGTACATCTCCACACTAAAGAATAAGCAGAAAAAAATTACATTTTAAAAACAAAATGGCCCATAAATAAAAATATGTTTAAGCCCATTAAAAATCAGGAACATGCAAATTAAAGTCACAATAAATTATGACATATGTTCCAGATTGGAAAAATTGTCAAGTCAGGTAATAACAACCTTGGCATGAATGTGGGAGCAAGGAATGCACATTCTACGGTGAGAGTGTAAACTAGTATACAACCTGAAAAGTAATTTCACATTATTTAATGAAGTTGAAGATACACAGATGCCTTCACTGAGCATTTCTTATGTGTCTATCAAATGTTTATTGTAGCAAGTTTTACACTAGGAGCACAACACAATAATTCATCAAAAGAAGAATGGTTAAATAAGGTAGGGCATTTCTGTCCCATGACTAATTACATTCTTAGATATGTACCTGAGAGAAATGTGTACATTTGTATAAGTACAAGAATGTTCATAGTAGCATTACTTGTAATATTCAAAAACTGGAGGCAATCTAAATGTTCATTGACCATAAAATGGATAAAGTGGGGTGATCATAAAAGGGAATACTGTCAGGATCGAAAGTGAACAAAGCATCGGGGTGAATCTTACACATATAATGCGTAATATATAACAGATATCTAACTCCAAAGAATATCTTTTGTATAATTCAGTTGATATCAAGTTCAAAAACATGAAAAACTAATCTCTGGATTACAGGAGTAGATTGTGATTATCTTTGGGATGGAACAGGAAGGGCACAAGATAGACTTCTAGGTGCTGGTCGGTTTGATTTTTTTTCAGTACTGGGGATTGAACCCAGGGGCTTTGCACTGAGCTTTTTGTATTTTTCATTTTGAGACAAGCGATCACTAAATCATTAAGTTGCCCAGGCTAGACCTGAACCTATGATACTCCTGCCTCAGCCTCCCAGAGTGCTGTAATTGTAGGTGTGCACCACCATGTCCAGCCAGGTCATGTTCTGCTCCCTTTATGACAATTCAGTGAGTTGTACACGTGGGATTTGTATACTTTCTCACAGATAAATTTTACAAACTTGCTGTTCTAATATATAT